TTATTGTATAATATTAAATAATGAATTTATTTTTAGTATTGTTTTTAATTAATATAATTAAATTCAAAATTACAATGCAATATTGCATGTATTTTATTAAATTTTATTAAAAAATTTATATAAAAATGTCTAAATATATAAATAAAAAAGAATTAAATAAATTTTTGATTCTCTAAATATCTCAAATTTTATTTTTAGTTCTTCTAAAATTTTTCTTCAAAGAATGGTCTTCTTAAAAATTAACTTTTAACTTTTAGTCCCTATTGCAATTTAACAATGATTTTTACAATTTAGCGACGATTTTAGCGACAATTTTTATTTAGCGACAAAATTAAAGACCATTTTAGTTATGATTTTGTCCAGAGAGGTCAAAAATTAAAATTTAATTTTTTAAGAGGATTATTCTTTGAAAGAAAAATTTAGAAGAACTAAAAATAAAATTTGAGATATTTAGAAGGACCAAAAATTTATTAAACCCTAAACAAAATTTAACATTTGTTTATCAATATATTTATTTTTATTGAATAAAAATTAATTTTGTATAATAATAAAATAATGAGAAGACCAATTTTTTATTCCTATTTAAGAAGTCTTTATGACATTTTGTATTTATCTCTTAGTGTAAGAGTTAATTTATCAAACATTTAAATTAACTCATTGGATGTCAATCACCACCAATAAATTATTCGTCTTAGATATAAGTTATTACTATTTATCAACTATTTTTACTACGATCGGCACTGAATTCCATTACGACAATGTAGACTGCAAGGGGGATATGATCAACAATTTATTAGATAACACTAACATCTTAAGAACCTCACACCAAACACACTAACATTTTAAGAACCTCACACCAAACACCTCAGACTCAAACGAATTATAGGAGACCACAAACATCTCAAAAAAATCGTAGGAGGCCTTGACGGCAACCAAATACTCTAAGATGTGGAACTGGTGTATGTTACGATCGAGTTGGTCATTAAAATTCTCTATAATTGTATTCTATTTCATAGAATAATATTAGAATTTAACATTTTTTAAATTATTTTATATTTAATATGATTAAAAAAAATCAAATATACATAGGCGCCAGAGAAGTTGATGCAACCTCTTAAGGCATCAATGTGTGCACCAGAGAGATTGACACCATGGCATTGCATGTGCATTGTCATCATAGTATTGTGTGTGCCAATACTAATATGTATAAATTTGAATGCATGTATCAATAACATTGACACATTTTCTTGTTAGCGAAATTTTTTATTTAAAAGTAGTGTAGATTGATATATTATTTAAAATATGGGTTATTGAAATATTTTTAAAAAAATTTTACATTACTAAAAAGTAATAGAAAAAAAATAGTTTATTCAATCATAAAATATCTAAATAATAAAACAATATTTTTATTCCACTTCATTTTATTCCACACTGTTTCATCATTTTGTACTATACAAAAATAACTCTAGTTATAATATCATTAGACAACAAATAATAATTTTTATATTTATTATTAATAAATATTATTTAAATATTTCATATGTTAAAAACTACTATACTATTTTGAATAACTTTTAAATAAAATATAATATTTTAAGTTTGTTGTCTAAAGAAATTTCAAATTCAAATTAGTAGAAAATTCAACTATATTATAAAAATATCTACCGACTCTATTATTGATAGAAAATTATAATTCAACATTAGCATAGTATAAAATAAATATTACACACAAGACATTATTTTAATTTTTATGTAACTTACTTTTGGTAATAATACCTTGAACTATAAATTTTATTTTAAGTTGAATGTTATAGAAATATTCTCTATTATTCTTAGGATTGGAATAAAAATAAATAGTTGTTTTAATTTTCATATTATTATTTAAAGTTTACTATGTAAATAAATTTAACATTTTACAATCTCTCTTTAATTATACATGTCAAATGTATGTTTAAAAACTTACACAAAAAATCTAAACCGTTAATAGCACTTGATTAAACGGTTAAATGAATAATCAATTTTTTAGAGAAAAGAATGAATTGTATTTTTTTTAATTCTATTTAATATAATCGTTTGATCAATTCTTTTAATAATTGAGATTTGATGTAAGAGTTTGTTTGATAAAACTAAAAAAAAGCTTTTAGCTTTTCAACTCACATTAAAGAAAAAGTTTTGTTTGGTAACTCGATTTTATCTTTTAGTCCGTAGCTTTTTTATTAGTTTTTAGTATTTTTTTCAAAAGTTATTTGAAGTAGCTTTTGAGATTGTAATTTTTAACTTTTAGATTGTGACTTTTTCTTCCATTTATGTTTTTATTATTTTAACAACATATATTATTACTCTTATTAATGAAAATGACATTTAAGTCATTTTGTATTTATCAATTAATAAAACAAATCATTTATCAAATATTCATCTTAGTTTATCAGCTATCAATCACCACCTATAAAATATCAACTATCAATTAATTTTACCAAACAAAATCTAATTTATTTTACCTTACACCTAATGTCAATCGATCTTAACTTTTATATATATATAGGAATGTTTTATATTTTTGAAAAACACTTATATGTAATTACATATGTTAAGATGAAATTTGAAATATTAATAATTTCTTTATTGAAACATAGGAGAGGATCAAGGAGATAAACCAAACCGAATAAAATTCGTAGTAATATTAGAGTTTTATTATATAATATTAAATAATAAATTTATTTTTAATATTGTTTTTAATTAATATAATTAAATTCAAAATTACAATGCAATATTGCATGTATTTTATTAAGTTTTATTAAAAAAATTATATAAAAATGTCTAAATATATTTGACATTATCTTTATATATATATAAAAATTAACATTTGTTTATCAATATATATATTTTTATTAAATAAGAATTAATTTTATATAATAATAAAATAATGAGACGATCAATTTCTTATTCTTATTTAAGAATGTTTTTATGTTATTTTATATTTATCTATTAGTCTAAAAATTAATTTTATCAAACATTTAAATTAACGCATAAGATGTCAATCACCATCTATAAACTATCCGTCTTAAATATAAGTTACTACTATTTATTAGCTATTTTTATTAAATAGAATCTAATTCAATTATTATCTAGTGGAATAAAAGTGAATAGGTTGTGAGTTTGAGTCTACCATATTAGACTTGTTATCAACTTCAAACACTAGATTACTTGAAAAAATAATAAAAATATTATCTTTTTAATGGTGACTTTTTGATTTTTCACACATACTAAAAAAATTTATAATTACGATTACTTTTTATACTACAATATTTTTTTTGTCTATAATATCGTTACTTTTAAATATTTTAATATTTTTTTTTCTCTCTATAATAAATAGTTAGGGGTAATTTTAACAAAATAATAATTATTAGTGTATTGAACTATGGTACAGTGATAGTGTGAAATAACACTATTCTTTGTATCTGCATTATTCTTTTGGTTGATACACCAACATCCTCACCATTAAATACAAAGACTCTAGAATCTAGAAGAACGTGACACGCTTTCTATGGATGTGCATTTTAACCGGTTCATCCGATCCTTACCCATAAAGTTGGTTTCTAAATATAAAAAATCTAAATTATTTGGTTATTAACTAACCCATTCCATTTAAAGAAAAATCAATAACATTGGATACCCATTTTATTGAAATTCAGTTCTTGTTCCTGATCCAATTTACTAATTTACTCAAATGTTAAAAGTATCTCTCTAAATTTCCAATATAGCCAAAACCGAACAATTATAAATTGAATACCTAGAATGGCAGTTAATTTTTTCTTGGATTCCAACATTAAATATATTACAATAAATATTATTCTTTTAGTTTTAAAAATACACTATAATATATTTTACCTGCAAATGTGTTTGAATGACAACACAATAATGGAAATTGAGTTTTTATCAATCTAAGACATGAATCTCCATTTTGAAATTCAACTTTCATAATACTATAACCAAATTTCAATTATATATACAACACCAAACACCAAACTTACTTAATAAAACAAAAAATTGATGTAATTAGTTTTAAGAAAAACCAATCCTAACAGAATCAAATAAAAAACAGGTGGTTAGTAGAAACCGATTTTAAATTGAATCAATTCAAATATAAACCAGTTTTGAAAAAATAATCTGATTTTACAAAAACAGTTTTGAAGAATTAAACCAAACCATATATTTGATTCAATTCGGGTTGATTTGAGAACCATGCACACCCCTACTTTAGCACTCATTTTTTTATTATTATTTATTCTTCATAATTTCTCACGAGCTTGACGGATGGCTGAAGACATGAGGCATGAGAGATTCTTTTTACAAAAAATGAGATTAAGTCTGATAATTTAGAGAAGATGATGATGACCTAATTCCCTCTTGCGTTGTTTTATTGTTTTATGATTTTCTCTTAATTATCTCAAGTATATATACACTATAATGCCTCAGATTTTTCAAAATAAATCCATCAAAAATCTGTGTTTGTGTTTATGGTAGTTACAATATGTATCATGATAATGGATCTACATTTCTTTTCCAAAATAATGAGAAGCTATAACAACCTTGAAAGAGATATTTGGACAAAAATCAAAATAGATTTTTTTTTTAATTAGTGTTTTTAACATAAAATAATTTTAGAACTTTTAAAAATAAAAAACTATTTTTGATATAAAACTTTATTTTTTTAAATTGGTTTAAAAACTGATTTTTTTTTTAATAAAATTGATTTTGAAACTGGTTTTTTATAAAACTGTTTTGAAATTGATTTTTTTTTTTAAATTAAAAACTGATTTTGAGAAAAATCGGTTTAAAATTAGTTTTTTTTTTAAAACTGATCTTTATGACAAACCGGTTCAAAACCGAACCGATCCACATGTAAACCGATTTTAAAAATATAAACCGGTTTTAATAAAATAGTTTTAAGATCCAAACCAAATTATATATATGGTTCAATTTGGTTTGGTTATTGATCCATGCACACCCCTAACTCTTACTGTATATGCCTAAAAAAACCAATCAAATCCAACCTCAACAACAAGATGAAGAAGACTTATGTTTTAAATGCAAAGATTGTGGACAACTTGATATCTGTTGTCACAAGTATGTAACCAACTCCATTTTCTTCATCATCATCTTAATCACTACTTTGTTTCATTATATGTTTATTCATTTCATGAACTGTTGTGTTGGAGAGTCATAGGTAATATATTTTAGTAAGCTATTTTATATTTCTCAATATGAAAACTCTATGTACCGAATTATTTCTCTTATATTTCTTTTAGGTGTTGTACACGATGAAATGCCTAATGGGATACTATTGGAAGTTTCCTTCATGCCTAAAGCGATTTCCATTTCCGAGCTTTCTGATGAAGACTTCACCGAGGTATATGTTTTCCGGTGAACCTATTATTCACTCTTTCATTCTTAACATATACATATTAACTGTTTGTTTACTCACAGCAAGAATGTGAGGATTCGCGACAAAAAGTGAACACTGGCTTGCTCCCCAAGTTAACCATTGTAAGTTATATGATACCTGCGGGACAAATTTATCGGAAGTTTTAACATATATAGCGAAAAGTTATATGAAGGCTACGAGTCTTCATGAGGATATAACAAAACATGTTAATGTCTCAAAATTTATAGATTCTAACAATTCAATTCTCGGATTTCATAAAGGCAGATACTAATTTTCTGATTTCTGATATATTCTTTGCTTTGCAAATATGTTCCTGTTAGTGGATTGCATCACGCCTTGCGAATTTGGAGATTCAAATCGAGCGAGCAAATCTGAGAGGACGAAATAAACAATATCCTTCTTAAATGAATTGTTAGTATGATATGAATATATTTTTGTATCCATTTTTCACTGCACATTATGTTGGTGTCGGACACGGACACAGACACGTGTATAAGATAACAAAAGTGAGATGTATCAGGTTCAAAATTAGTGTTCTGTGATGTACAAAAATTGCATTACTAGATGAAAGGGAAGAGCTAGAAAAACAATGGAAACAAGAAACAAATCAACAGCATAGCAGCAAGTTCATTCTATTCAACAAAATAAAGTGAAACCAGAGAGAGAGAGAGAAACGTTACAAGATGGAATGAAAGTTCAAAACTTAGACGATTCCTGAATCTCAAACTCATTAAGTTTCTCTTCTCTCTTCCTTTTCAATTCAGCCTCATAATTTCTGAGCCTTTCATTCATTTTCTCCTGCAATCAACCAAAAAAATCAAAAAGGGGTTTCAGTTTATGCAACTCAACATCCACTGGGTGGCATAAAAAATCGATGAAATAAACACAACCTTGTAAGTAATCTCAAGACGATGCATAACGTAGAATCCGAGGATGCCTCCGAAGATTGTACCAGACATGATTCGAATGTAGCCCCATCTCTGAGAAGGACCCTGCATCGAGTTCAATGGTGTTCTCTGGTTTGAGATCTATAGGAATCTAGGTTTTCGGTTTTTTTTTTTTTTTTTTGCTTTAACCCTATCTTATAAATTTCTTATTAGTAATAAATAAAGGGTAAATAAGAAAATTCTGAACCACTTTTTAATAATATCTTGAAAAAATTACATACCTTAAGAAAATAATGTGGTTAAAAATTATTTAGATGAAAGTTTACTCAAAATTTAATATTTAAATGTATACTCTATTTTAATATATTTAAGATTAATAATATATTTATTCTTAATGACTAATAGGTAGTATTTATTTTGATTTATTAGTGCCGCTTGAGTTTTATTTGAATACATTGAGACAAGAGAAAGATGAATGCTTCACATGATAAATATAAAATGATTTTTTTATTTCTCAACCGAAAATATCATGGTTATTAATGAGATTGTGGATTGTTGATAAGTATGAAAAATATATAAAAAAAGAAAATTTATATTTATTTTGAAAAAATTAAATACTTTTAATTTTACTATTATTACCAAATATTTAATATTATATTTAAATTACTTATAATATTTGAATATGTGAATTAATAAATTCTTTTGAATTTAAAATAATTTAATTTAGTAATAAGTATATGACATATAATAATAAATGTTGTTATTTTTAGCTTTTTAGAAAATAATTAAGGTTCATTATATTATATTTTTACCTTTGAAATAATTAAGGTTTATTATATTATTATATACCTTTGAAACAATAATAAAATATGTAAGTTTTAACATTTTTATTTCATACATTTAAATTAATGAAAGGGTTAAATATGTTATTGGTTCCTATTAATAAAACAATTTTTATTTTAGTCTCTAGAAAATTTTACTTTAAAGATTGATCCCTATTATTTTTCCATTAACGGAGGATGACATGTCATTATAACTGGATTAAAATATTATTTTTGTTTTTTTTCTTTTTGTTTAAATGATGTGTTCTTACTCTCTTCGTCTCAACTCTGTTTCAACCTCATCACAACCTACACGTAATGCCACCACGTTTCGTAAGTCTCCCAACTGTTTGAAAAATTGCCCAAACAAAGTTTGTTCTCCTGGAACACCATGATGAGGATGTATGTTCAAATGGGTCGCCCCAATGATGCACTCAACATGCTTGTTGAAATGATTCATTCGGGTTGGGGTCGACCTGATAACTTCACTTACTCGATTGTTATCAAGGCTTGTAGTGAGTTGTTCTTTGATATGGGGGTTGGAGTTCATAGGCAGGCGCTCAAGTATGGATTTGATAGGGATGTACTTGTTCAAAACTCTTTATTGGCAATGTGTATGGTTGCCGGAGAAAAAGAAGCTGCAAGATTGACTTTTGATTTGATGCTTGAACCAACAGTGTTGTCGTGGAAAAGTTTGATTAACGGATACTTTTAGAATAGCTTGGCAGAGGAGGTGTTTGAGTTTATAGTAGAATGATGGAGGAGGGTATGGAACCTGATTGTGTGACTTTGGTTTCGGTTTTGCCGGCTTGTGGGATTTTGAAGAATGTAGAGGTTGGGAGAGAGGTTCATGCATTAGCTCTTGAGAGAGGCTTTTAGAGAAATGTGGTTGTTTGGAATGCGTTGTTGGATATGTATATTAAGTATGGTCAAATGAAGGAAGTGCGGTTTAAGACATGGAAAATGGCTACATGCACAGGGCATAAGGTAAAGTCTTGAGTCTGAGGTTGTTGTGAAAACTGCCTTAATTGATATGTATGCCAAATATAAAGATAGTAGCCTCAGTTATAAAGTGTTACGAAAACTTCTAAGAAAACGTACAGCCTGACAATCCAACCTTAAATAGTCTTCTTCCTGCATATGCTATTCTTGTTGACCTCAAACAGATAATTAACATACATTGTTACCTTATAAGATTGGGATTTCTTTGCAAACTTGAAGTAGCTAGTATGCTAGTAGATATATACTAAAAGTGCCGAAGCTTAGGATATGCTCACCAAGTTTTTTGATATAATTCCTTTCAAAGGTAAGAATATTATTATTTGGAGTGCAATAAAATTGATGCTTATGGAAAGCACGTGCAGGGTGAAATGGTTGTCTCATTTTTCTATCAAATGGTCCAATTTGGAGAGAAACCAAATGAAGTGATTTTCACATCTGTTCTACATGCTGAGAGTGCATTATGAGCAGTAGTTGGATTTTGAGCACCAGTTGGATTTTGATCGAGTGTGAACATTACAACTTTCGGTTTCAATGGAGAAAAAGGTTGCAGCTTTGAATTTCACTGGAAAATACCTACGTAGTTGAAAGTGAGTTGAAGTTACAACTTTGAGGAGGAAAGAAAATAATGTATGTGTTTCTTGAGGGATTTTTGGACCTACAATTATTGGAAATGATAAGAAAGTATTTACCCATGTGTCCATTGTTAAAACAAAATTTTTAAAAAAATTATTCCACTTGTCCTGTCACATCATCATTCGTTAGTGGAATTTAACGTTTGGGACTAATTGCATGGATGGAAAATTTTGCAGGGACTATTCTTTGAAGGAGAATTTTAGAGGGACTAAAAGTGAAAATCACTATATTTATAGGGACCAATAACATATTTAACCCTTAATAAAATAATGTAAGATATTATGAAAATGCCAAATGTATTTTCATCTATATTGTATTCTAAAACCAAATTTTCTAATTATATTTATTTGAAGACATGCTACTAAAAAATAAATATTATATTCATTAAATTTTTGTCTCATTTGATCGAAAAAAGTCATAATAGTTACGGCATCGAGGGTGGTCGCCGAAAGTTACAAAACTATTAACTTACATTTTTTTAAAGAAGAAAGTTCTCTCTAATGAAGAAGCAGAATCGAGGGCGGCCTCCGAAAGTTACGGCACCACCAACACCGGTGAATCATCTTGCTCTGGAATCTCAACCGGAGTCTTTAAGTGTGAAGTATAACAAAGAAAGCTATGGAGGTAATATTGAGAATGATGGAGATCTGGAAATCCCAAAGAAAACCCTAGATGAAGGACTGGAAGAAGAACCTGAGGTCAAACCTATGGAGTGAAAGCTATGGGTGGATATCCTCAGTGAGAATCACAATCCTGCTAAAGGATTAGTTCTGAAGTATGTTGCTCCAACTGTGATAAACTGGAAATTTGAAATTGAAATTGATGAAGAAGACACTGAAACAAAGATCAAATTATGGAGGAATTCCCTAATCATGTACGTTCTTGGCGAATAATTGAGCATGAACACAATCAAGAATTACATGATGAAGACATTGAATTATGTGCAATGAATATACTTTGAGACTAGGTGAAAAATATTCATGATTAATCTCTATTTTTTGTCATCTGGGAGAAAAGATAAGATTTTTTTAAGACACATCCTATTCTATTCATGTCTTAGTTATCATTTTGTACACTCTATTTTCTCTAAATTAATGAAATATATCTTTTTGATTATGACAAAAAGGGAGAGAAAGCATAATTATGATTTTGATGCATACCTAATTCTCTAAATCTTATTGCTTACATTTCTAACGAATTATATATGCAAGAGTTTTTAGAATGTGTTTTCAGGTACAAGATTAGAAGATTATAATGAAGAAAGAAGTTCTGATAAAGCAAAGTCATAGAAATCGCTTCCACATGCTTCAATCATAATTTTGGAAAGATAACCAAGCTCAGAAAACCCTACTTTCTGATAAGGTCTTAAGTTTTAGATTCATGGGAGATTGTTTAACTCAGAGAGAGTTTTCTAAACAATGCTCAGATATCTCTTCCTTCTAAAAACTATAAGTCTTAGACTCAGTGGGAGTTTACGCCAATCAGAGAAAGTTTTCTTCTTAACTCTGAGTCGGTTATGATATTACCTTGTAAAATTGTTACATCAAAATACATGGTTTTGTCATCATAAAAAAGGGGGAGATTGTTAGAACAAGATTTGGATTCTACAATTAATCTTTGGATTTTGATGATAACAATACATATATTTTATATGTAAACAATTTTGTTTCTAATAGTTTCTTGAGTGTGCAGATTAGAAGTTCTAATTGATTCAAGACAATTGTCTAAAGAATCATCAGAAATACACCAAACATGCATCAGAAAGACTATTGCATCCGCTTCTAAAGAAACATCAGTAGTTCTGAAGAATGTTGAATGTTCGTCAGAAAGAGGATCTCAATGTATACTTCTTAATAAGTTGTTATTTCAGAATGCTTCAGAAGTCACAAGTATTCTAGAAGAAAGAATCTCTGTTAGAGCTACTGCTCCAAGATCAGAAAACAAGATTGCACCAGAAACAAACTTTTGCGTCAAAGATCAGAAATCAAGATTTGTTCGTCAGATGAGTTGTTGCTTCTAACTTTGAAGACAGAGTCAAGGTTCTGAACACATCAAAGGAAAGCTTCTACTTTCGAATCAGAAATCAAGATTTGTTCATCAGAAAAGCTGTTGCTTCTAATTCTGAAGACAAAGTCAAGATTCTGATGACTTGGATACTTCATGGAATATGCGCATATTACTTCACATCAGAAACATTCCATCAAAAGACAAATCAAAGAAAGTTAGATCTTGTGGACTCATTACTATTCTACATCATATAATCCATCAGAAGACAAAATCAAAGATGATATCTTCTCAAGCCAATCTACTTCATCAGAAGTAATATTCATCAGAAGACAATATCATCAGAAACGTGTGCAAGAATGGTTAGTACAATAGTACAATTACACATTCCACTCAAATGGATGTACTGTGTACTATTTGTCTCCCACGATCATTTTTTACCGTTGGCAGATGGCAAGATGATAGTGACGTGTGTACTACTACAACAGTCTGATCCTCAACGCTTATATATAGGATCAACGATTTCATTTGAAAAATGAAAGACTGAATACAAGAACATTGACGCTATCTAGATCAAAGCAAGAAAAAGAAAAAGATCAAAACACAAGAATTGTTGCTCATTATTGTGTTGATATTACTATTTGATAGAACACAAGAATTATGTTGATATTGTAATTTGTTAGTGTCACATCCAAAATTTACTCTATGATTATTCGAATTCATATCTATGTTGTTATCCAAAATTGAATTTCAATGTCCATTTGTATCCTACCATAGTTTATTTATGCAAAGCCAAGTTTGGGGTGGAGTACTTTTAAATATCCCATTATCAAAGTTTTGATCTAAATGCATTGAATTTATTGCCTTTGGTATACTAAGTTTCTCCATACATGGTATCGAGGGAATCCCAAATAATTTGACGTGCTGTAAAGAGTTTATGGCATATTATTTATTTGTGAGGTCATATATGGACTCGTAGTTACAGGAGGCAGTAGGTTCCACTACGTGATTCCTTCTTTTTCAGTTAACAGATAAATCTCAAAAGGAAGGACGTTTAAGCATTTTGCATTTTTGAATCTATCATAAAAATTGTAGCAAAGATGGCTTACTTGTTTTCCATTTCTTGAGCCAACTCAAACCTGTCCAAACAGTGCAGTGATCCCATTAGCATATCATTAGTTGTTCCAGGTTGACTATTTAGTCAAATCTGGGCTTCTCCCTCATGATGATTCAGGCCCATGTGGCTAAGGTGATGTATTTTTGATGCTTTACCCCATCATACTAGTTCCAATGTTGGCCTTTTGATTTCTGGGCCTGGGAGTTTTATTGCTAAGTTCTCACCCCAGAACTGCTTAACTCCTAACCCGTTTACTACTTTTTTTTAGTTTTATGTTTTCTTTTATTTTGATATTTTGATATTTGTTTTATTTTTTATTTTGAATTCAAAGTCATGTTTAAGTAATTAATTATCATAAACACTTATGAAATTTATTAATTAATCTTTATTAAATAAGTTTATTTTTAATTTCATTGATTTATTTGGTTTTATTTGTTTGAATTGTTTCAATTAACTTGTATTTGTTCTGTAATGACCATCTTGTATGGGCTCATATGATTTACTTTATCTATTGTGATTCAGCAAGTGTATTCCTCCATTTTAAACGTGTAATAACTTACTAATCTTATTTTGCTTTAACTCATTTATTCGCTATTTTATACTTAACTTAATTAAACTCATAACATCTTGGTCCACATACCAAGTTTTGAAAAGGGTCTCATGGTTGGGGATAGGCATGGTTATTCCCACAAGATTTATCAAAGTCTTTGCTTGCTTTGATTAACCATAATCTGAATCAATCACTTCGGTCCATATATCAAGTGTTCCATGCAAAAGGGTCTCATGGTTGGGGGTAGGTTAACTTACTCTCACGAGGTTAATCAAGTATAGTTCTTGGTTAATCATAACCCGATTAAACTCTCTTAATCCATGTACCAAACATGTAAATTACTTTCATAATCAAAGTTCTAAACCTCGATCCAACATCGAGTGACTTTTCAAAAAGCTCTTTTTCATAATAAGTTCAGAGTATTTAAATCGTTGGTTGTTAGACCACTTGTTTAAAGACTCGTGCAAAATAAATGTCAAGTATTTAAATCGTTGGTTGTTAGACCAATTGTTTAAGACTCAAACCTAATAAACGTGAACCTTGTTTCACTTCAATTTTTTTATAAGAAAACATTTTGGGATGAGAGACGACTCGTTGAGCTTCATTGCTCATCTAATTTCTAGTATTTGAATTGTAGGATGTTAGTCATATTGTTCGGTACTCTTCACCCATATAAAAATAACTTTAACTCATCAAACTTGTTTTTTTCACCCTTGTGCGACTTCGAAAACCTTTTCATAAAAAAGAATGTGTTTTGGCCATTTTAATACGAAACGAATACACAAGACTTAGCTCCCCGAACGAGTAAGACAAGTTGAGGTTCAAATGTTTGAAATGTCTAACGCATCATTCTTCTAAAATCAACCAACAGACACTTGGTCTTTTCTAGCCGAACAATGAGGCTCTGACTTTTCCATTGCACGAGGGAGTACGTAGGCACAAAGTTGCAAAGTTTTGCCGAGTCAAAACAATCTAAAAACAAACCCCTTCTTCTTTATCCATTCTTTAATAATATTGAAATTATTACACTAACACTCAAACACACACACGAACTAAACGGTTCCTATCGAGTACGATGGATGTGAGGGGTGCTAATACCTTCCCCTTTTAATAACCGACTCCCGTACCCATCTCTTGGCCTCAAAGACCATCTTATCCTTTGCTTGCGGGTTTTATTTGATATTTTCCCCTTCCTCCTTTGGAATAATTAAAAGCTCGATGGCGACTTCATTGAATCGAATATAATTTTTTCGAGGCGGTACAGTTAGAACACAAGAGTTCTTGCTCATTATTGTGTTATTGTTGTAATATTTTTAAACACAAGAATTGTTGTTCATGTTTGTGTTAAACAATTTGTACTTAAACATTTGTGTAATATGCGTGTAAGAAGCAATCTGTAAACATATTGTTCAACTGTAAGTTGATTAAGTCCTTTTCTAAGGCATAGAGAAATTTACTTCAAGGGACCGGGTAGGTCAGAAGCCTTAAGGAATTAGTGATTGTTATATCTCTTAGGGGATCGGGTAGGTCATAATTCTCAAGAGATCACTATCAGGTTGTCATTGTTGTTGTTAGTCATCAGTGGGTAGCTCGTGTGTTGTACCCCAAAATTTGCCCTCCCATATTTCTCAAAACATGTCAAGAAAGATCCTCAAGTTGCTCAAGGTAGTCCAAGGGTTGGCCAGACAAGCTCTCTCCTAAGGCAGTCTACCCCAAATTAGGGTTTCATGTTGCATCAAGAGACTTGAGTCCAAGTTGTCCCAAATGCTCAACATTTTCCTAATATTTTTTCAAGATCATCCATGTCAAGTTTCAAGCCTTGCAGAGGAAGTTTGCTCAGTCAGTTGCTCAAAGGTCCAAAAATCGAATGTGCTAGGGCAAAAGTCAACTGTGACCTACATACAGTCAAACTTCAAGATTTTTGGTCAACATCCTCATTTTTGAGTATATTTCATCATTTTATCAAGGGTTGATCATGATTTATCAGGGATTGCTCATAATTCATCAAGACTCAAAAGTTGCTAAATTAGAGTTTTGTAGGAAAA